TGAGGACAAAGCATGTTGTAAAGTCTTATATTGGTTTGTGGGGTCAATCGTTGATCCTAAAAGTGGATGGGAATCTCAAAAAGGGTTACTCATGGAAGGTTCTAACCGTTAAAGGGTTCTGACCAACGAGAAGTTACATGAAGTGTCATGGAGTGGAGCCACTAAGAGGTCAAATCAGAGGGTGTTACAACACCCTCTATGCACTCTCACTAGAAGGACATGCTGTCAGGATTTAGTCAGGATAGCTATGCTGCACAAGATACATCTCATGCTCACGAGGGCAAGACTAGGACTTCCAAACTGAGTTATCCCCAAGGTTAGTTCCCAAGCTTTTACACAAGGGACCTTCCCTAGCGATATACTTTATGTCGTACCCTTTAAAACAATTTTATGCATATGATATTAAAAAAACTCTATGCATTACATTCACATAGTCTTATACCATAACGCATCACACAATTGATCATATCATATCTTATCATGGCTAAGCCTCGCTTAGACTTCTCATCATACGACCATGAAAAGATCCATACACATTAAATTAATGCATCAATGTCAAAGCACATCAATCAGTTCATAAAGCTCACAATATGTCATATCAATGGCATACTCACATACTACGACCAATTATTAAGTAATATAATGATTACACAACATCATCCAATACACCTCAAGTAAGAATCATTATTAGATCGTTTAATCATTTGTTAGCACCTAAACCCTAGTCACTGAAATTGATGTCATTAAGAATTTAAATTAGTAACTTAACTAGTCTAGCAACTTTATCATTATCACACATGAAGTCTTTAGACATCGTTATCTGTAAAATACCTCAAGTCATGAACAATCAACTTGCATCATAACCTATTAACAATTTTTTTATACCATAATTCATCCTTCCTAACATTGATATAAGTACTTCAAATCATTCATAAAATCAAACACTTAAAAGGTGAAGTTATTGATCATCTTCATTCACAAACTACATTTTCACAACTTAACCTTTTAAGACATCGTGTGATCCAAATGTTCTATCTATAATATATATATATATATATATTTTTTTTTTTCCCTTATCAAGAGCACTTAAAGGATAAAGTTATTCATTATCCTCATTACAAACTACATTTCCACAACTTAACCTTCTAAGACATCGTGTGATCCAAATGTCATATCTAGAGCTATATATATATATATATGATATCAAGTTAATCTTAATTTTATTAGAAAGATAAGACAATCATATCCAATTTGTAATTTTACCCCAAGAGCTAATTAGGCCACCTACTATTTTTAAAAAATACAAAATCGTAACATTTTAGCCTAAGAACCCCAAACTTTGGGAAAATTATGGAACTAAATTTTTCTTAATCTTTACAAATTTCCTCCATTATTTTAATTGTATATTTTTCTTTGTTTAGAAGAGTTTTAGAATTACTTTTTGAATCTATATTTTTAGAATTATTCAAATTCTATTTTAGAATCTTCATAAATTTTTGTTATATAATTTTAATTGAACAAAATAAAAAATAATTTGAATGTCATTGCACTTTGTTGTAATTGTTGGTAATATTCACTCCTTTTAATATTTCATTCACTCCTTGTAGTTGGTACTTAAATTGTTACCTCTTATTTTTCTTCATTCTAATTATAAATCATATTTTAATTTTTGTCTTTATCTAATCTCTATTGTTATTTTAGCCTCTTTTAAATTCTTCTAAACGTCTCTTTTCTTTGAAAAAAATGTACAATACTAAAGAGATTAGATGAAATTGCACAAAGTGATGAAAAAAAATTAAAAATAAAATAAAATTTCAAGTAAAAATAAAATAAATTATTTTTCCATTATTTGCTAAATTAAGTTATAACCAATATACGCATAAACAATTATAATAAATATCTCTTAATTACAAATTAATCATCGACAATAATTTCATATTAATTACAATTTAAATTATTTTATTAATTATAAATTATAACAACATTCATTATGACTATCAATTATGACATGAATGTATAAACTACAAATTATAATCGTTATAATTGATTACATTTTAAAATTATTTGTTGTTGTAATTGTAATATATAAAAATATTTTATTATGACTATCAATTATTTTTTATGACTTGATTGCATAAATTAATATTTGTAATTAAAATTTCGATACAAATTTTAATTTTCTTATTATTTTCTTCAATATTTGGTACCTATACATATATTTAAATTAACTAATAAATTTAAAATATTATTTAAATGTATACTTTTAATATATATTTAAATTTGAAAACTCATGCATAATTTCTTATTATACTTCAATTTCAAATAATTTTTCATTCATTATATAAAAACTCTAAATTATATCATATATAAATATAATTAAAAAACAATTTTTACAATTAATATGATTTTGAGTAATTAATATATTTTTATCCATAAATTTAATAACTTTTCTACAATTATTTAATTTTAATATTTAATATAATATTTATTTTTAATTTTTAAATATGGATCAATATCTAGTTACATTAAAAATGTTAATAAACGAATGAGTTATAAGAGTGACTAGGGACGACAAATAAACCTGTATCTACGGGTAATACCCAAACCCGTCCCGACTTTGATGGGAAATACCCGGTTTGACCAGGTACGGGTACGGGTAAAACCCGATATATTAAATCGGGTACGTGTACGAGTACGGGTATGTATGTAACACCCCAGTTTTTATTTCACTTTTTATTTATTTATTTTAATTGAGGGTATTTTGGTAATCTTATAAAGGTGATAGGGGTGATTTAGTAGCTTGGAACGGGCTGTTCCGGAATTGGAACGGGCCGTTCCAAACTACCAAAAGGTATGTGATTTAGTAGCTTGGAACGGGCAGTTCCGGAATTGGAACGGGCCGTTCCAAACTACCAAATTGTATGTGAGTTAATAGCCTAGAACGGGTCGTTCTCAGGATGGAACGGGCCGTTCCGGACTATTAAATATGCCATTAACCCTAAATGCGAACAGGCTTGGAGCGGGGCGTTCCCAAAATTATGGTCGTTGTGAGTAATTAATGCACACCAGAACGGGCCGTTCTGGTTTGGGAACGGGTCGTTCTGGATGTGATTTTTACCCATGGTTTAAGGGTCCGGAACGGGCTGTTCTGGATTTGGAACGGGTCGTTCCGGCGTAGAATGCCTATAAATAGAGCTGTTTGCTACTCCCAAAAAGCACACCTCTCATTTTCTAATTTCTTTTCTTCTTCTCTCTCTCTTCTTTCCTCTACTTTCTGCTTCACACCGAGAGGAACCCAGCGAGGGAGACCAACCAGATCTGGTGTAGATTCAACTTCTACATATCTAGATTCAGCTTCTACATATCCAGGTACGGGGGAAAAAGAGATTATTTATATGTGGAGTTACATGAGGGAATTGGGTAGAAGAAGAACCCTTAGGATTATGAGCAATTTTATAATTATTTCTGTTTGGAGAATTATTGGTCTTATGTGATTCTGTATGTATTTAGGACTATGATTATATGATTTGTTTGTAAAAATGATGCTCTAGGAGAGAGAACGAAATTATAGAAAAGTATCTGTAAGTTAGGTTTTGGAAAAATTATATTATTTCTGTTTGAGGAATTAATTATACCATTAGATTCCGTATGTGTTGAGGATTAGAAATATATATTTAATTTGTAAGAATGATGATCCAGGAGAGAGAACAAAATTGTAGAAAAGTGTCTGTGAGCTAGGTTTTGGAATAATTGGAGTTTTATTGTTTATGTTGAAATTATATTAAATTGCTAATTCTATTGATTATTATATTAATTTATGGATATCATTGTTATATTATTTGATAAAAATTGATAATTTAGATGTGAATTGCTTGATATGTATGAAACCCATTATTTTGGACCTATTTGATGTGTGTATGGAATTGAGCTATGAGATGAGATGTTGTATGGATGTGAATATGATTGTGGTTCCTCACACTAATGACTAGGGATGGCACGGCCCCTGGGTAAGTGATGCTACAGGGAGGGCGTGACCCTAGCATGGTGTGGGATGAGTAAGACAGTTAACACGTATCACTTATGTCAAATATGGCAGCCTTGACATAGGGTTAATTGCAAGAGATTGTGTGGATTGTGATGTGATTGTGGTTCCTCACATCAATGACTAGGGATGGCATGGCCCCTGGGTAAGTGATGCTACAGGGAGGGCGTGACCCTAGCATGGTGTGGGATGAGTGAGGCAATTAACCCGTATCACTTATGTCAGTTGTGGCATGGCCTTGGCATAATGTTAATTGTAAGATTTTTGTGGATTGATGTAATTGAGATGTGAAGATGATGAATGATTGATAAATTATGATATATAGAAATGTTTGTAAATATTTCCTTATGTAATGAGATTATATTATTGTGTGTTTGTATATACTTTACATATGGATGTTTTCTTTTCTCACCGTACAAATTGTGGATGTTTTAGGTGAGGAAGATCTGACTACGAGTGGTATCTAGAATGCTAACGGTTGAATTGTCGGGATGCTCTAATATTGTGACATCGGGGCAAAGGATTTTTAGAACATAGGTTTTTATATGGATTTGGAATTGTAATTTATTTTTAAAAATAATTTGAAAACTCTTGCGTTTCATTTTTATTATTGTGGTTATTAAAGGATAATTTTGAAGATTCTCATGTGAACCCTTTTACCGAAATTGGAAAATTTATTTATGTTTTATTATTACTATATATATGTTGGGGTAGTAAGGGTGTCACATTTAGTGGTATCAGAGCAGGTCGATCCAATCGGCCGTGAGTTATGAGTCTACTATGCTTGTTTGCTAGATAATTGATGGAATGATTTGATTCTGGAATTTGTTGATATGTTAGTATTATGATTGATTAAGTTAGTTGTTTACTTATAGTATAATTGTTAACTTTTCTGGAGGCCAGAAAAGTAGTGGCAGGAGGTAGGAACGATCGTGCAATCGCTGATGCTCTATAAGCGATGGCTCAGGCTCTTGGTAATTTGAACCAACGACCAGAGATAGATTGGTTAGAGAGATCCCAGCGAAATAATCTGCCAAGATTCCGTGGGGGTTATAATCCTGATGGAGCTGCTGACTAGATTTTTGAAGTTGAAAAGATATTCCAAGCTGTGGGATGTCCTTTGATACAGAAGGTGACTTTGGCTGCCTTCATGCTTTCTGGAGTGGCTGGCATCTGGTGGCAAGGTGCTTTGCAAAGAATGATAGCTGCAGGTACCCAAGTGAACTGGGAGAATTTCAAGCAGCTATTCTTGGAGAAATACTTTCCCCAAGATGTAAGACATAAGAAAGAGGTGGAATTTCTTGAATTGAAGCAAGGAGAAGATTCTGTGGCTGATTATGTGACTAAGTTTGAAGACTTGGTTAGATTCTGCCCTATGTTTGATGGTGTGGGCAATGTGGAGGAAAAATGTGTAAAGTTTATGAGTGGTCTTCGACCTGAGATTAAACAAGTTTTCAATTATCAAGGGATCACTCACTATCACGAATTGGTAAACAAGTGTCGAGTACGTGATGAGGATAACCGTGCTAGGGTAACTCATTATAAGAGTGGAGGACCCATGAGCAATAATAAGTTTGGGTCATCTAGTAAGGGTAAACTTACACCAAGTCTGCCGGGAATTCGAGTTCTAAAGTGAATAATCAAGATTTTGTGCAACAAAGGAGCCAAGCTCCAACGGCTAGCCAAACTTCAAGTGGGGGAAGTGTGGGTTCTGTTCCACACAACAACTGTTTCAAATGTGGGCAGCCAGGTCATAGGGCAGTTGAGTGTCGAAGGCAAAGAGTTATAACATGCTTCAAATGTCAAGCGAGGGGAAACAAAGCTAATGAATGCCCCAATAACAAGAAAGGAACAACAGAGGTTGGAGGGAGCGCTAGTAAACCTAGAGCGACAGGAAGTGTGTTTGCCTTGAGTGGTGCTGAAGCCACTCAATCCAAAGGCTTAATCCAGGGTATGTGTTTCATCAATGGAACTCCTCTAATTGTTTTGTATGACTTTGGTGCGACTCACTCTTTTATATCACATGCGTGTGTGTCCAAGTTAAAATTACCTATTTCTTCCTTGTCTTTTGAATTAATAGTAGAGACACCAACTAGTGGTTCAGTGTCTACTTCTGATGTTTGTTTAAAGTGTCCTTTGATTATGGATGGAAGAGATTTTATGGTTGACTTAATTTGTTTGCCTCTAAGTCAGCTAGATGTTATTATGGGTATGGACTGGTTATCTTCTAATCATGTCCTTTTGAATTATCTTATATTAATTTATGGATATCATTGTTATATTATTTGATAAAAATTGATAATTTAGATGTGAATTGTTTGATATGTATGAAACCCATTATTTTGGACCTATTTGATGTGTGTATGGAATTGAGCTATGAGATGAGATGTTGTATGGATGTGAATATGATTGTGGTTCCTCACACTAATGACTAGGGATGGCACGGCCCCTGGGTAAGTGATGCTACAGGGAGGGCGTGACCCTAGCATGGTGTGGGATGAGTAAGACAGTTAACACGTATCACTTATGTCAAATATGGCAGCCTTGACATAGGGTTAATTGCAAGAGATTGTGTGGATTGTGATGTGATTGTGGTTCCTCACATCAATGACTAGGGATGGCATGGCCCCTGGGTAAGTGATGCTACAGGGAGGGCGTGACCCT